TTTTTAAAAATTAAAATATTATTCTACGAAATTGAATAGAATAAACCATTAGATATATAATAAAATTATGTGATATGATATGTATCATTTTTTGATTTATTATACACCCAATGATGTAGATTCATATTCTATTACCATATCATTTTAAGTGAATTTATAAGTATTTAACATTTCTTTATAATTTATGAAATATTATTTATAAATATATGCTATATTTGGTTATGATATATATTGTGCAGCTTTTCTCAACAAATAAATATAAAACAAATATTAAAATAATTCTCTCATCTAAAAAAAATACTAAGATAATTCACTGAACTAATAAAAAAGTAAAAGAAAATACATATATATATATACAAATAACTAATTTTATTAATAGATAAATCATACTCGCATAACAAATGATCAATTTTATTAATAATTAAATCATTAAATAAATTGGGAGATTTTTTTTAAGGTCCTGAGTATTAAGATTTTATAGTATGAAGGACATCTAATATTTTCATAATGTCTAAGGTCCCTCAATATCAATCTAGAGAAAATTCGATCAAGAGAAATTCTATTCAGAGAAATTTTCTCTATACTTCTCACTCTCTAGAGAAATTCTCTCCAAATAAATTCCTAACTCAAGTTTTCATCATCTTATTTCTCCAGAGAAATTTCAGACTTCCCAGAGAATTTCCCAACTTAAGCCTTTATCATCTTCTTTCTTCAAAGAAATTCTGGGAAGTTTAGAAAAATTTCTCTCTAGAGAAATCTGGACTTCCCAAATAAATTTCTAACTCAAACCTTCATCATCTTCTTTCTCTAGAGAAATTCTGGGAATCTAGAGAACTTAAATTTCTCTGGACTTACCACTCTCTAGAGAAATTGTGGGAATCTAGAGAAATTCAAAGAATACTTCCCACTCTCCAGAGAAATTCCTAACTCAAGCCTTCATCATTTTCTTGAATTCTTCAAAATTAACACATCCATCGCCATCAACATCAACAAACTTGATCATCTTCAAACAATCTCTCCACGAGCACTTCTCTCCCAAGCCCTTCAATACAGCGTGCAATTTCTCCGCCGATATTAATCCATTCTTATCATGATGGTACAAATCGAACGCATTGCAAAGCTCTTTGCTACTGCTCTCATCACCATTGACCAATCATCTTCGATGAAAATCAACAAACTCGTGGAGATCAATGAATCTATCATCGTTGCTATCGATCTCTAACATTACACGCTGAACATCCTCGAGAGAAATATCGAAGCCAAGTTCACTGAGGTCCGCTCGAAGGCGGAGATCTTCCGTCACCATTGGCGTTGAACTTTTTGAACACTTTTGCTACTTTTTCCATGTTGCCTAGCGTCGTCACTGAATGTTTACCGTTGCTTGAACTCTTCGCCAGCAGAGAGATGAAGAAGAAGAAAAAGAGAGAGGACTTAAATTCACGAATTGGTTCAGATTCAACATTCGAGTTATGCATTCTACAAATCAAAGTCATGTATGGATGAATAAATATCAACAAAATTAGATCGATAGATCTAGAGAGAGGGAGATACTAGTCTGTCTTTGTCGAAGATTGAGTGTCAAGGTTGAAAAAGTCAAATTTCTCTATGATATATAGGTGTGAAGTTGAGGGACTTTAGATATCATAAAATAATATTTTGGATTTTTTACATTACTAAAAATGGGAGGGAGACCTTAGACAAATTTTTTCAATAAATTAACAATTTTTAATAATATGAAAAATATTTTTAAGTTAACCATTTTGTTAATAAATAAATCATTAAATTAATTAACAGTTTTTAATGGTATGGGAAATTTTTTTAATAAACAATTTTGATAATCTATTATTGAATACAAGAATTGCTTCTTTTTTTTTTTTTTTTTTCCTTCTGAATATTGTGTTAAATGAAAATTTATAACAAACAGTAATTGTAATTTGTAATATTATAAGACCGATTCATATTTTAAACAAACATTATAGGTGTATTTGTAATTTGTTAAAAAATAAAAGATTTATATTTCATAATTGACCAAGAATGTTCGCCTAATTACGAAAAAAAACCTATTGCATAATTGACCAAGAATGTCTGCGTAATTATGAAAAAACTTTCACGCAACATATAAGCTACCGTTAGTAAATTATTTAAAATAAAAAGACAAAATCGAAAAGAAAAGACGAACCTCAAACAACTAAATGGTTCTTATATATCGACAATACTACGTAGCTCAAATTTTGTGGCTCAAATGGCCAAAACAACATCGTTTTGAGTACAAAACAACATAAAAATGGCCAAAACGACGTCGTTTTGACCATTTGAGCCACTTTTAAGCCACAAAATTTGAGCTACGAGACATTTTCCCTTATATATATACTAGTTTACAGAGGCCCCGTATTACAATATTTTTAAGTTTTGTATTTTGATAATTTTTTAAAAATTAAAATATTATTTTATGAAATTGAATGGAATAAATCATTAAATATATAATAGAATTATGTGGTATGTTATGTATCATTTTTTGATTTGTTATACACCCAATAATATTGATTCCAATTCTATTACCATATCATTGTGGGTATATTTACGAGTCTTTAAAATTTTTCAAAATTTATAAAAATAAAAATAAATAATAAATAATTATGTTGTTTATTTATTCTCAACAGATAAATATAAAACAAATACTAAGATAATTCTCCCATCTAAAAAAACTACTAAAATAAGTCACTGAACTAAAAAGTAGAAAAAAATACATATATATACAAATAACTAATTTTATTAATACATAAATCATACTCGCATAACAAATAATCAATTTTATTAACAAGTAAATCATTAAGTAAATTAACAATTTTTAATGTTATCAAAAATATTTTTCAATTAACTATTTTATCAATAAATAAATCATTAAGTTAATTAACAATTTTTAATGATATAAAATTTTTTTCAATAAACAACTTTAATAATTTATTATCGCATAGGAGATTTTTTTTTTTTTCCCTTAAGTATTGTGTTAAATTAAAATTTATAGCAAACAATAATTGTAATTTCTAATATTATAAGACCAATTCATATTTTAAACAAACTTTATGGGTGTATTTGTAATTTGTTAAAAAAATAAAAGATTTATGTTTCATAATTGACCAATAATATTTGTGCAATTATGAAAATACCTATTTCATAATTGATCAAAAATGTTCTCATAATTACGAAAAAGCCTGTTGCATAATTAACCAAGAATGTTTGCATAATTATGAAAAAACTTTCATTCAACATATAAGTCATTATTAGTAAATTATTCAAAATAAACGGGCAAAATTGAAAAAAAAAAACGAATCTCAAGCAATTAAGCCTTTCATATATCTATACTAATTTAAGAAAGCCCATGATTATTACAGTATATTTAAGTTTTGTATTTTGATATTTTTAAAAAAAATTAAAATATTGTTCTATAAAATTAAATAAAATAAATCATTAGATATGTAATAAAATTATATGGTATGATATGTATCAATTTTTGATTTGTTATATGACCAATAATATAGACTTCAATTTTATTATCATATCATTTTGAATAAATTTATGAGTTTGTAATATTTTTTCCTGAATTTATAAAAAAAAAAAATATAAAATTATAATGTGTAACTTTTCCCAACAGATAAATATAAAACAAATACTAAGATAATTCTCTCATCTAAAAAAACTACTACGATAATTCACTGAACTAATAAAGAAGTAAAAGAATATATATATATATATATATATATATAAATAACCAATTTTATTAATACATAAATTATATTCGCATGACAAATGACTAATTTTATTAATAAATAAATCATTAAGTAAATTAACAATTTGTAATGATATAAAAAATATTTTTTAATTAACCATTAATAAATAAATCATTAAGTCAATTAATAATTTTTAATGATATGATAAATAATTTTTAATAAATAATTTTGATAATTTATTTTGCATAAGAGAATTGATTTTTTTTTTTCCTTGAGTATTGTGTTGAGTGAAAATTTATAACAAACAGTAATTGTAATTTCTAGTATTATAAGACCAATTCTTATTTTAAACAAACCTTATGGATATATTTGTAATTTGTTAAAAAATAAAATATTTATATTTCATAATTAACCAAGAATATTTACGTAATTACGAAAAATCTATTTCATAATTGACAAAGAATGTTCGCGTAATTATAAAAAAAAACTTACTACATAATTGACTAAGAATATTTACAGAATTACAAAAAACCTCCACTCAACATATAAGCCACCATTTTAATTATTCAAAATAAAAGGACAATCGAGAGGGAAAAAAAAAAGCCCTCAAACAGCTAAGCAGTTCTTTTATTTATATATATATATATATATAGAAATATAGATATTATGAAACTCCTAGATATCCAACAAAACATTAATTGCTTAAAGAGACGGGTCATGAGTTCCAAGGCAAGTGACCCCAAGAGAGTGAAAGGAGAGGAAGCAATATTGTTTTCATCGGAAAAGTTAAAAAATGCCCATTGTTTTTATTTTTGTGATGACAAAGTTTTCAAAAATACATAAATCAATTTAAAAGCAATACCCAAAAATTTCCTGAAAACAGTATGCCAAACAAATTTTCTTATCAATTTATGTTTTTCCTGTTTAAAAAACAAAAACAAACATGATAGAGACTCCCCCCCCAACACACACACGCACGTGAGGTTTAGTGATTGGAGAAAAAAAAAAATTCTGGCCAATCACAGCCCAATGGAGGTCCTGGGGGTCACCCCCAGTGGGCGTCCGGAGCATTTTTCAAACAAAAATAATACCAGACAATCCAGTTCCCAACCCAACCACCACCCAACCCATTCAAGGGTTTTGAGCCACATGGCTCAACCACTTGCATAGACAAAGGTAAGCATCAGTCATCAAAATCACTCCAAAAGGGGGTTACCCCACATTAGTTGGTGATCCTGCTCTCTACAATAGAAAGAAAAGCTTTATAGTTTATAGTATAAATCTCCTCTCACTACAAGGAGACACAGAAACATAGTGTCCCTAATCTACCCATTTTCACCCATTAAAAGCTAGGTCTGACCTGTCAATTTAAAGTTCTAGCTGTGTCCAGCAAGGTAAAGAGGCATTTAGGGTTTTGGCCAATCTCTACTAAGAACTGTCAAAGGTCCCAAGTCCATGTCCTAATACAGATACAACAGTAAAAGATGGTTCTTGTTTTCTGTTCCCTGGTTTCAGACAATTTTTTTTTTGAAATAAACCCTAATCACTAACCTCTTTCAACTGTACAAAGAGTTGTACATTTATGCTGAAGGCTCTCTTTCCAACGGTCCCCTCGGCAAAAGGGTCACCACAAGTTAGTTAAAATGTTCACTATTACTTGTCTACAATCTAGGAATCTATGATGCATAGAAAATTTATCAAGTATTTATACACAACCAACCATCATAACTACAGCAGAATTAAGAGGAATCGAAATCTGAGTACCAGTCAATATGGGAAAACCGATGACTGAATGCCGAATGAATCCATCATTCTGAAGCGAAAGTCAATTCGTTGATAGCTCGGCATATTTCTGATTCCATCACTTGAGCGGTTTTCTTCTCGTCAACCCCATCCGAGACATCATCTGCTTCTGTTATGCACTCATGGAATCTGAAGCAGCTAATTAGATGGTCATTTGTTATACCTGCTACTTGCATGAACGAGTAGATGACCGTGGGCCCCACACTCCGAAAACCCCTTCTCACCAAGTCTTTGCTGATCACATCTGCTTTCGGAGTCTTCACGGGAATCTGGCGAGGGTAACGGAATCTGCTAATTATAGGCTTGTAGTTCACAAAGCTCCAGATATATTTGTCGAATGACCCGAATTCATCTATGACCTGGCATCAGTAAAACCTGCAAAAAGTTAGTTGTAGCATAATAATCATAATAAGAGTACGAAGTGTGACATTATGACATTTGTTTAACTTCTTTGGCAAGAAGTTGTTTACCTGACATAATCAATAAGAAGACTATTTAGGTTACCAGAAATTATTAATGAAATTATAGGATTATAGAGGTCAGACCATCTAAATTTTGTTCTAAACAAATCGTGAAAATTGTATAATGGTCAGTACCACGATTCAACTACTTTCCACCTAATCTACCCAATCAGGTGATCATTAAAAATAAACTTTTCAGCAATGACAAAAAAAGAAGTGGTCCATAATGGAAAGGACATCATGGCTCATCATGATATTCTAGGCAAATTTTATTTTAAACTCCAATTCTGGTTGAACTTCAGTAACTTTAGAGAGTTGGAATATGTGGTGTAAACATGGATAACAATCTCGCAATTATTTTCAAACAAATAAATCAAAACTCACATAGTCCTAATCAAACTACTCGGACCAGCTATATTATGGGATCTGTTCCCACCATTTCAAAGAAATAAATAGAAAATCTATCAAGCCAATTTTATGCAATGTCATTAAGGCTGTGTTTGGATAATGGATTTAGGTAAGGATTTGAGAAGGGAGGGTAAAAGGTGAGGTGAGGGAAATGTGAATGAAATATAAATTAAAATTTTTATCCATTTCCCTCACCTTTTTATTTTCCTTTCTAAATCCCTACCCAAATCCATGATCCAAACACAGCCCAAAAGTTTTAGGGGGAAATTGAGAATCTACCTTGGATATTTGACGTGCATTCTCAACAATGGCACGTAATTTGAGCTCTGATAATAGTGAGCTTGCTGTGCTTCCAGGTGCTGCTATTTGGTGAGGTGAGGGAAATGTGACTGAAATATAAACTAAAATTTTTATCCATTTCCCTCACCTTTTTATTTCCCTTTCTAAATCCCTACCCAAATCCATGATCCAAACACAGCCCAAAAGTTTTAGGGGGAAATTGAGAATCTACCTTGGATATTTGACGTGCATTCTCAACAATGGCACGTAATTTGAGCTCTGATAATAGTGAGCTTGCTGTGCTTCCAGGTGCTGCTATTTTCTTCTCACTAAATTTTGCCACAGTGATAGGATCAAAATCTGCAAAGACTTCTCTGCATAAAGGAAATTGTTATAAGAGAAAGCTAAGCAGGGGCACCACGCTGAAGAAAGGACTAGACAATATAATATAAAATTGGAAAAATAATCTGTCATTTTCTTAAAAGAAACATAAATATTTTATAGGAACAGTACCTGAATATGTGCCTTTTGTTGAGAATCGTTGGCCATGTAAGTTCAGCCAAAGCCCCCGAAAAGATGAGAAGCTCAAACAATTTCCTGCAAGTAGTCAAGAATATAACGCAAACCAAGAAAACTGTCACGTGGAACTCTATTTAAGAAGATAGGCTTTTGGAATTGACAAAGGTAAATGAAAATGAGTTGAGCTCACATACTTATCATCATGTACAGGGAGTCCCCATTCTTCATCGTGAAAAGCAGCATAACGAGGGTCTGGTTTGAAAATATGAAAATTGATGAGCAGATAGTAATAAGAGGAAAGTAGCCAGAGCATCAATCAGTGGGAAAACACAAATACACAAGCACAAAACAAAACAAAAAATAGCGACAGAAGGTAGAGTCAGGGCATCTAATCTTAGGTGATAACTAGCTGTTTCAGCATCCTGAGTTGGGCCGGGTAAGGCATGGCCTAGGTGGGTCCAAGCAAACTTTTTTACCTCAATGAAAGTATACCAATACAAACAAATTATTGAAACATTTACCAGAATACCAAGAAAATACAATAGAAAGCACCATTTTTTAGATCTAAAGTGGTTGTGCACGTGAAAGGATCAACTTGATGTTTAAAAGAAACAACAAAACTTAAATCTAGATTTCACAAGTCATCAGATAAAATTAGAAGTACAAGACCAAATAGCAGAGCTTCCATCACATAACATAGAAGTGCAGTACCCGCATCAAGAGTATCTTCACAACCATTAACAATTTTGATTATTTCATCACATACAATCGACAAAAGTACAGCAGAATGGTCCAAATTTAAAAACTACATGGAAAAACAAAAAACGAAAAAAAAAAAAAAAAAAAAAAACTTGAAGTTTCAACTTCCTTATAAATTTTAATATTTTTCATTTATATAATTCACTCCAATTCGGTTTCTTCTTTCTGCTATTCAGAATGTCTTTCCCAAATTATTAACTTTGTTAGAATAGCTTTAGCATAGCTTTAGCAGACTTCATTATTATTTGTATAGCTTTATGATAGACTAGCTTTAACTTTATATTATTAATTGTATAGTGTTTGCTTTCGGTGATAATGGTGGTATCCAATGCCCCTTTCTCTCTCTATAAAGAGAGCCTTCATATCTTTGTAAATCACACAACATAATACAAACATTTCAGAGTCTCTCTCTCACTCTATAGCTTCTCTCTCCATTAAATAGTGAATCCAAGTCATGGTTCACTCAATTGGTCACATTTCAAAAACCATACGTTAAATCATATATATATGGTTTTATAAAAAATTTAAAAAAATCTGCTGGTAGGTCAAAAGAAGTCGAGCTTTCACATAAAGCTACATTACAATTACAAGGGCAACAACGTTTTTTGGCCCATAAAGTGGCCCATTATAGCTTATAGATGAATGTAAGGAGTAGCATGAAATCGATCAAAGCTTATGAGCAACTACCACAATAAATAATGACCAGTCAAATGAAAGTTTATGACATCATCTAAGGTTCCAAAACCTAAAAGGCAATTTTAAAATACAAATGTGTGATGTGATCCAGAAGCCAAATAAGGATTATTAAAAAGAAAGACATGTAAAATGCAATCCATAAAACAAGACAGACAGAAAGAACATTTTAAGAACAACCAAATGCATCTGAAACTTTTGAAGAAGGATAGATTGAGGAGGTCTGGAAAAGACAAATGACAATGAAAATTTTGAGAGATGATAAAATAGTATCCAACAAAATGCTACTAACAGAAAAAAAAGATTTCCTCCATTGCCACATAATGGCAATTTCCATGGGATATGGTGTAATGCGTGAATAAAAATAAAAATATTACCTTGCCTTTAGATTGCTTACCTTCAAAACATGGGAAGTAAAAACCACAAAAGTTGCATGAATTCAAACTTCTTAACCAAAAAGTTCAAAATTAGCACTTTGCACTTTTAATATGAAGCAGACAAATAAGATGAAATTAAATCACACATCTATTTGCAAATATACCATAGATCATGATGCATACAAAGAACTCAACCAATACATTGGCCATAGAGCAACAGGCTAAGAATTCTAAACAAATGGCATACCAGTTACAGTCTTACCAAGTAGTTTTCAATACTACAATGGCAAAGAATGCTTTTTCGTAAAGTATTAAAAAGAAAACTACAACTATTCAATAAGACATAAATTAAAATAAATGAAATCTACTTTCTTCACACAAGACTAACAACATAGAATGTCAGAGACATACTCATCACGTTATCACAAAGGATTAGATTCAGCATTAGTCTCGGTTCTGGGCTCATGTTGACCCAAACCAAGCCTACATTAAACAAAGCATACGTTCCATGAAGATCTTAATAACACCATGGCATATATTATGCAAATTGTTGCCCAACGTGGCTTAATTCTCAAAAACAAATTCAATGAAGTCCTACACCATAATTCAACAGATTGGCCAAGTACCTTCATGTCAATATATTAAACAGCAAAATGAAAACAAAGCCATGTTGCTAGCCTACTAAGAGCAGCTTCTTTCATGTGTCAAGATATGCCTAGCCAGAAAATTACTAGTATTGATAATTTCGTCATGAGAAATCAAACATGAAATACAGTACACATACTTTCAATGAATCAAACCAAAAAGAACCTACCAGTATTTGGTGTCACCCAGGCACACCTTTTCTTGGGTTGTAAGCTGCCAGGTAGAGCCTCTGAAATGGCATCAGATACACTAATTTTTGACTTCATGGCCAATTGCTTCCTACGGACAGGCATACTATTTCTCCTATATATCCTACCAGTTGATGCACGACTATGAAACGAATCCGAAGATGCATCAGACGAACATGAAGCATTGAGTGATAAATTAGAATGCAGTAAATGCTCTTGCCTACTAAGTGCCGACGGAATACTAACAGAATGCGACAAAGGTGTCAATGGCAAAGCAACAGGAGATGATGGAAGACCATTACTCTCTTCTGCCAATGCCGCAACCTCTTCTAGCGAATTCTCTTCAGTTCTCAGTGTCTTCATCATGGGTTTACGTGCACTCCCCAACCTCTGTACCTTGTTACCCGCAGGTCCAAAGACCGGTCTGGCCTCCGAATCAGCCAAGTTTGATGATCTTACTCTCGGAGCTCCTGACATCTAAAGAAACCTCTTCAGTTCTACACAAATCTCTGTCAAAGTTCCCCAAATCTTCCACATCCACCAGACTTCAGGTTTAGTTCATTCAAATGTTCAATAAACATAACGAAACCCTAACAATCATTCAAAACACATCTTCTTCTCAGAGCTACCAATATAGATTTTGAGCTTTTTGGACCTCAAATTACCAAATTAAACAACCACCAACCCAGAAGCACATACAAAACCACCCAAAACTCACCACCATTCATCCACCTCAATCTCAGAGCTCCCCAACAAAAGATTTCAACCCTCAAAATCAGCACATATTACACTTTCCACTATTTCTAGAACTCAGTGAAACCCTCAAAATCACATCAAACCGCCATTTCCAGAGAATTTAAACTTCAAATTCCCTCTCGAAACCCCAGAAATATATCTATATATATATATATATATATTATACATTGAAATCTGTCAAATGAAACCCACTTTTTGACCAAAGATAGGGCTTCCAAAACCCTAATATATATACATATCTTTGATTATACACAGCTCATTTGTATATAGACAGCTGTAAGGAGATTCCAAAGGGTATGTAAAGAAAGTTCATTTCAATAATGAAGTCTCAGAGAGCCTCGAAACGTAGAGATACCATTGTGCATTGTATTAAAAAAAAATAAAAATCTAAGCTTTTTTATTGTGAGTGTAAAGATCGAACTGGGACTGTCTTAGTGCTTGCTTTTTTATTTTACAGAGAAAAAAGCTGACAGTGGTGATAATAATAATAATAATGAGAATTTTCTCATGATATTTTCCGGGAAAGTGGAAGCAGGAAACAGAATGCGGGAAAGTGGGTCTGGGTTTGGAGGAACGTACCTGAGAGAGAGAGAGAGAGAGAGAGAGAGAGAATTGATCGAAAGAGAGAGGAAGAGAGGAATCGAAAAACAAAGAGAGAACAGTGTGATCTGAGAGAGACTGTGAGTTTCTCTTTCTAGATTTGAGAGAGAGAGAGAGAGAGAGAGAGAGAATGAGTGAAGATTGGGGAATTCATTTTGTCCATTTATTTTCGGGTAAATTACGAACACATCCTCTGAATTTACTTAAATTATAAATTAGTTATTATAGTTTTAGAAATTATATTACATCCCTAAAGTTTCTAATTTTATAACCAATAGATCTTTTAATTAATAAATTATCAAGTAAATTAATAATTTTTAATAATCTTAAAATTTTATTTCAATTAATAATTTAGATAATTTTATTATTATATACGTGAACAATGAGAAATTTCACCTTTTTAATTAATTCTATTAAATGAAAAATTTTGACAAGGAGGTATTTTTAATTTTCCAAACTACAGAAGACAATTCGTATTTTAAGCAAACCTTAGGGGGTGTATTTGTAATTTGCCCTTTATTTTCAGGTAAATTACAAGAAAAATGTTTGGTAACTTGAATTTGTGTGGCTCAAATGACTTGAATATATCAAAACGACATCATATTATCTTCAAAACGATGTCATTTTGCGATATTCGAGTCATTCGAATCATAAAAATTCAAGCTACCAAGCATTGTTGAAATTACAAATATAGGTTTAATTAAAATATCAATTATTTTTTGGGATAAATTATAAATACATTATGAAGTTTTTAATTTTATAATCACGTCTTTTATTAATAAATTATCAAGTCAATTAAAAATTTTCAATAGTATTCAATTAATAATTTAAATAATTTTGTTATTGTATAAGAGAACAATTATGAACTTCATTTTTTTATTTAATTCTATTAAATAAAAAATTATGACAATGGAATATTTATAATTTTTCAAATCACATGAGTAATCTGTATATTAAACAAATCTCAAAAGATATATTTGTAATTTACCCTTTTTTTTATAGTTAAAGAAATTACTCCTTAAAGTTTCAAACTCAAGGTCCCTCTTTTTTATTAATAAATTATCAAGTTCATTAATAATTTTAAAATTATTATAAATTTATTTTAATTAATAATTTTATTATTATATAAAAAATTAATTATAATTTTATTTTTTCAATTAATTTTGTTAAATAAAAAAATTTGAAAAAGATTTATAATTTTTTAAATTTCAAGAATAATTTATATTTTAAGTAAACTTTTAGAATGTATTTCTAATTTATTCTTTATTTTATTACATGGTGACAGGATGATCCGGTTTTTGAGATGGTAGATTACCAGCTATATCCGGTTTGGATTTTTTGAAAGATTATGTGAATTTTTAATTATGGTTAATTAGATTTTTATTTTATAGTTTCAGTCTTATAGTTTTAATTTGAATAATTTAATTTTTATATTTTAAGTTCAGTTTTAATTTCATCTTTTTATCTAAATTTTAATTAATTTTTTTTACGTGTATACCTTAAAAGATTAATAAATATTCCAAAATAATTAATTTTAACTTTTAATTTGAACGGAATGACTAACTGAAAAATAAAAGAGATCAAAATAAAACTTGGGTCAAACTATTAGGATTAAAGGTATAATTAACATTTTTTATTATTAACTTTAGTATAAGTATACTTTTATATTTTACTAAAAAAAAAATGTGCTATCCGATACTTTTTAGCACTTTATTTCTTCCATAAATATTTCGATAATATACACTTTATTTCTTCCATAAATATTTCGATAATATATAACCATCACCATTACAATTTTATTATTATAGGTTTTTATCCCACATAATGAGAGAGAAATTAAGCTTACAATTTCACACCACTAAATAATACTACACAATTGCTCAACCAAAAATTCTAATTATTTTTGTTAAGTTTCTTGGAATACCTATAAATAAGCTTTTTATATAATAATTTTATCACACTATCATTTGAGTATTGAAGAGTTAACACATTGATTGGGATTATTATGTATTTTTCCCCTTAATTAATTTTTAATATTAGTTTCTCTATTTTTTTAGTTATAGTTAATTATAATTTTTAGTCCCTAAAATATGTTATTTGTATTATTTTGGTTTCCAGTGTTTAAATTGTATCAATTTGGTCCATAATATATAAAAACTGCTTCAATTCGATCCCTCAATCTAATTTCATCAATAGATGTGGTTAAAGCTAAGAATAAATGTGAAAATTCACTTTAAAAATTATACTTTTATTCTCTAAATTATGTGATCAGCATCAATTTAGCCACTTAAATTACACGTTTACTCTTAATTTTAATAGTGTCTATTGACAGAGTTGGATTGAGAAACCGAATTGAAATTTTTTTTTATACATCGAAAACCAACATGATACAAATCTCATACTTTGAGGATTAAAAATGAAATTAACCATTTCATTGATTAGTTTCCCCACAAAAGACAAGAATTTAGCTATTTTCTTTTATTTTTTTCTTATTTTCTCTTTTCTTTTTTGTTCATGAATTCATGATTGAAACAAAGCATACAAAAAGCATTTTGACTAAAACTTGTTTTATAAGAAAAGGGAATTAACAAATTAACAATTTATTTTTATTTGTTCTTCAAAGAAACTATTTTGTTGAACAATTATATTTTTGGATTTTCCTTTATGGTGTCAACATGGCAATAAATGTTTTCCATTTTCTAACAGTAAAGTTGACAAAGCAATTGGAGATTACTTGAGAAAGCAAATCAATTTTTTCCCCTAAATATTTGATGATTTGAAAGTTCATTTCTGTTGAAAAATTTAATGTTATTTGTAGTTCTACTTCATCTGAATATTTTGAAAGTGACAAATTATATTTTTATTGTCTTTGGGTAATTAATAAAAAATTTCTTTTTAAAATTAAGAATGAGAAGGATAGCAACCTAAAGGAAGAATTGAATGGCCAAACTTTTTCTATATTTATTGGATAAATATAAATATATGACTATATAAAAACTTGTGTTTGATTACTATTTTTTATATTTTCATAATTTTTTTTTTTTTCTTCTCTCTTAGGTACAATGTTAGTAGAGGTGTAAGCTATTGGAGTTAGTTGGGTTGAAAGAAAATTTAGCATTCGGTCGAATCCTTCAATTTTTACAATTGAGGTATTGAAATGGACTGCATATTATGGCTCAATTTGGGGTATTTTAGGAATATGGTTAAAAGTTAATTTTTGACTTTTAACCAAACTTTTTGATTTTTTTGAAAAGCGATTTAAGAAGTTGGTAAAAAACTATTTTTTTACCTTTGGGGTTAATATTTGTTTATGATATCACATCACAATAAAATAACCAAAATGTTCCCAAATTGTGATTTGCCCTAGCCATCTACTTGTAAACATGGAGGGTAGTTCATGTAATTTCACACATTGCGTTTTGTTAACTTCCCAAATAATGTTCTGCCGTTTTTAGTTGTCTGAGGCTGCGTTTTTTATGCTGCAAAACGCAGCTTTTATTTGGGTTTCAAATCACCCCTTTGTTTCTTTTTTAGTTTAGGGTAAATGATGGATTCATAGAAAATTTTAAAGATTTTATAAAAATCTATAAAGTCCTACCTTGTGAATAAACGAAGAGAGATGAATGTAAATGTTTTGTCCTCAAAAAAAAATGTAAATGTTCTAGAAATATCCCTCCTACTGATTTTTATTGTAAACGTTTAATATTTGTGATTTATATTCTAATACTAAAAAAAAATAGAATATAAAAATTATTGAAATATAATATTTCAATCAATTCAATCGATATTGGTACAAAATTATCCAACCAAAACATATCATACCTTATGAAAAACTTACTAAAAATTAAAATTTCGAACAATCTTAGTTTTGCTAGTGTTTCTTGTAACCCTAGATGTTCAAATGTTCAAATGTTCAATACTTCTACATAAGCTCAAACCCCCAACCTCTCTCTGAAACTTATATTATTTTGAGTTTTAACAATGCTCCCAAAATATTTTATGTCCCCATAGCGCACAAATAGCATAACTAAAGTCTCGTTTGGGAACTATGATTTTTAGTCAAAAAGTCATTATAAATTATCACATCACTTTTCTTATTTTTCTGCACATTTTTTTATAAAAAATCAAAAAAATAATTAAAATAATTAATTTCTGAAAACGAGTTAAATCCATACGAGCCATCAAGTGCATCATACATGAGCTAAAGTTACAAATGATTAAGGTGGTGTTTGGCAAGTGGGTTGGGGCTAAAATAGCCACAAAAGACAAAACAGGCTATTTTAGCCACAACAAACAAAACATCACATCCAACCCATAATCATTACACTCTTCTCTCACAAAAAAAAGCCAAAAAGTCAAAAAGCCAAAAAGCCCTTCCCAAACCAAGCTTTTTAGCCCAGGCTAAAATAGCCAAAAAAGCCAAAAAGCCAAAAAGCCAACCCACTTCCCAAACGGAGGCTAACTAGGAGAGACTAGATAGAGCATTAATCACAATTTGGCAATACCAATAGGGTCAAAATGAAAATTGAAACCTTAGCAAACCACTTGCATGACAATTAGCCTTGTTTGGGGGTATACTAATAAGTACACACTTTTTATCTTTTTATTTTTTTTCATCACATTCCCTTTTTACTTTTTTGTATATTTTTTTGTAAAAAGTCAAAAAATGTACTTATTTAGATCATCCCAAACCATCCCTGACACCTTGATATTTGGAATTGTTCAAGGGCACTATAGGTAATTTATCTTTACTATTTTTTTTTATATTTTAATTATTTTTTTATAAAAGGATTTTTCAATTTAGTAAGATTGAGAAGTGAAATTTTTTTACTAAAAAAAAATGCAGAACCAGAACTTTCTCTCCGCACAATTAATTATAATCCTTAGTGAATGATTTATCTATTTCTACATTAATATTTGGCTTAATTATATCAAGACCCCCACACAATGAATTTTACAATATACTGTATGTAGTCTATAAAAAAGTCATACATTTTAACCTCGCTACTTACAAAATCCTACAAATGCTAAATTTTGGAGGAATAAATAGGTTAAAATGATGCACTTTTATAATTGAGGAATTAAAATGTATAAATTCATAGATGATGGG